TATAAAAATTATGATCTTCAGTGGTGGATTTTTCGGCAACTACCAGTCCAATCTTTCTGATTTTTTAAACATAAGCTATTTTTTAGTCAAAGAATTGATTTCTGGAATTCATTTGGCCGTAACTGCTCTAGTTAAAAAGTTAAGAATTTTGCCATTTTTAGAATTAAAAATGTCCGCCAATTTTTACTAATAATTAAGCTAAAAAAACACTTTTAAAAAGTGTCTCATGTCTCAAACTTTTAAAATAAATATAAATTTATTGTTGGGCCCACTGAATTTTTTAAGATTTTTTAATTTTTAGGGTGGTCGGATACTTTTTACCGGGGAGTGTACAATAAGAGGAAGTATCATTTCTTATTAATAAATATTTTTATTATTTTTTTCCCTACAAAAAATGTCTAATATTCTGGTCATGGAATTAAAATCATGAAAATTATTCGGATAGTTTAAATTTCGCCAAATCTACAAAAATTAGTATGTAATATGTAGATATAATGGAAAATTTTTTTATTAGCATGCCGGATTTAAAAACCCGCTCGTCTCATGTCTGCTGTGGCAAGCAATCCACCAAATATATAACTTGCATGGTTGTTTTTATACTCTTCCCTCTCTTTTTTTTCTTTCTTTTTTTTTAAAAAAAAAATTTTATTTATAAGTGAAAAATACAAATCATATCATAGAATAAAAGTTAAAAATACATAATTGTATATAATACATGAAAAAATTTAGTAGAGTTGCTTAATAAAACTTAATCATGATCTTAAAATTGGAACTGGATGCGATGAAATACAGGGTCAGGTGACATAAAAAAAGTAAAAGAGAAAAAAAAAGAATATAAAAATAAAGGTGAATAAAGGGGAAATAGAACTTAACTTGCAAGATGTTGATTTTGTTTGTTTCGTTAAACGTTTAAATGGTTCGTTCAAAATTACTAAGCTATTCAAGATTCGTTAACTTTTCGATTTTTTGAGCACCAAGCATTAAAAATAACGAGAATAAAAGGGGAGAAAGAGAATCGAGCCAAAAGTAGTGAAAATAAAATGAGGTCTAAAATATGAATAATTGTGATACAAGCAATATAATCATATTATTGGTTTCATTTCGTCTGGAAAATCAAGTTGTTCCCCAAGTAACACGGGTGGCCTTGTGTCAATAAGGGAATTGGCGTAAAGATATTCGAACATTCGAACTGCAAGGATACATTCAATTTAAATGACTTTCTTATGAATATGAAAATACATAAAATTATAGTTACATAAAATTATAGTTACTTTTATTTGTCGATATCTTCCATTTTCTGTAACTTTTGACGACGGATGATCGATTTGACATTTTTAAAATTTTCTAAAAAAAATAATAATAATAAATAAACAAACATTTTTTACAGTTACTAGTATAATTAATATACCATGATGAGACGATAGACTTCCATAATTAATTTCTTTAACGTCATGTTGACATTTTTAAGCTGATATTCGCAATCGTATTGACTAGCGGAGTTTAAATTTAGCTTCATCATATTACGAAAATAAAAAAAAAGCTCACTGTAAATTTTGTAAATTTTAATTGATCGTACGATTTTCTGAAACACGGTGTCATTTTATATCCAAAATGAAATAATAAATTATATTTATTCCGTTGGAAAAAAAATGAATCAGTAGGATTAGACAACTTTTATGATTGTTTAATTTCTTTCTTTTTTTATTTTCTTATTTTATTTTATTTTTTTTTAATTGTAAAATTATGCCATGCTTCAATGACAGTTTGATCAACATTCTTATCATGATTAACGTTTACTATTCAATACAGCATGTCATTATCACTGCTTTGTTACTATTAACAAAATTCTTTAATAAAATAATTTACCACAAAGTTATGACGGCCGTTACATCATACCAGCTGCACTATTACATCTAATAAAGAATAAAATTATCTTGATCGTTTTATTGATATAATTGGTTGGAAATAAAAATAATTATAAAAATTTTCAATATCAACATAACAAATAATTTTTTTTTATTGAAATAAAAAAAAAATCATAATAACTAATGTGA